TGTTCGTGAAAGCATGTTATTGTATTCTTTGTGAAATGAGGAGGAGGAGAGAGAGAGAGAGAGAGAGAGAGAGAGAGAGAGAGAGAGAGAGAGAGTTCATGCATTGGTGTATGTATCATTGAACAGAAACGTAATCAAGGTATTTCTCCGTTGGTGCCGACTATATTTATTATCTATGTTGATGCACTGGTAACACCAGTGGTATGTGTCCATCCCAAATGCCCCTTGTGAATATTATAATCAATAAAGTTTACCTTCATACCTGCAACACACTGTTCTTAGCTTGAATTACTCCGTCAACCATGTCGTGCAGGCTGTTTCGATCTCCAGTAATCTCAGCTCTCATGTGGTGATTGATTGTAACTCGATTATTACTGTTTTTTGCCCCCATCGACGTAAATTTAGATCATTTAGGAAGCAGGCCTCTATACCCACCTCTGGTCAGGATCAAACCAGACTGGGTGGGGAGCAACATCTCATAAGAAAGAGGGGGGGGGGAAGGAGGCACGATAAAATAACTCCATCACAAAGGAATCTATTTGTTTCTTTTGCTTCTGTGTATGCGTTTTTACGTTCCCACCGACACATTTTAGATCACTTAGGAGGCAGGCTTCCGACCCTGCCTGTCAGGACCAACCAAGATGTGAGAAGGAAACCACCCAGAAAAAAGACCGGAGATGCTCGATAAACATGTTCACACCACTCGGGGATCAAATTCGTGTCTACTGTGTGCGGCGACAGCCAAGCACCTAACAGCTACACAACACACGCCAGTACAAGGAAATCGAGCTTGAAACGTTCCCTGATGTCCTGAACATTAAACCGATGACGTTGATGCTCAAGGAGTGTGCACGTGAGCACGCAGCATGCACGTGATTGCACCATGGGCTAATGATACCGACATCAGCTCGTTTGTTTGGGTTAAGCATCTGTTGGTTTTTTTACCATTCTTGTAAAACCACGATGAAAAAATTCCCACTGGAACAATACTTTTTTATCTTTAAACCTTACCGCAAAGATGTTTGTTTGTCTGTTTGTTTGTTTGTAAGTTTATTTGTTTGTTTGAGTAAAGAGAAGCGCATCGACGTAATAAATAAAGGCCATTTCATTAAGTGATGGGAAAAGGAAGACAGACAGACAAAAACAACAGAAAAAAAGTAAAGAAGTCGGACCTGCCAGTGGTGCCCTCCAACCACCCGCTAACTCAAAAGAGAATCACATCAACATGATAACGGTCATTAGGTACAGGGAATTGGTGACAGACTGACCGAGCATAATATTAACAGAGACAATAAAAGAAATATGATGACCTACCGGTGGCCCCCTCCAACCACCCATGGGAATAGTATGCTTGATACAAGTCCACTGATGCTTACATTAAACCACCATTTCAACACCATGATACCATGGCTTATAGTAAGTCGTAACGGCGGCATACACCAGGAATAGATGAGACCAGACTGTCATGAGCTGAAGAATTAGAGTGTTGTGTGTCCCTTTGGTCAAAATCGTCCAATAACTACCATGGAACAAAAGCCCAGTTTCGTCTCTGCACGTCAAATAAAAGTCTAACGACTTCTTGGCGACTACTCTAAAGGATTGTATCGTAATTGGTACCGAAATTTAATTATTCGTAGTTTTGGTTCGGTTGGGTTTGGTTAGGTTTTCCAAAAAGCGGACAATCCTTCTTTTCCCCAAACTACACGTACGTTCTCAAAAGTGAAAGTAACACCACTTTTTGTCAGGGGTACAGTGGTAACTCGAAAGAAAAGTAGAAAAAGCGCAGTAGAAGACTTTAATGCAACTACACAAAAGACAAAAAAACGTTGAATCTGAGATAGACTTTGAGTGAAGAATTGGTTTGTTAGAGTACAGTGTAGCACATAGACTCGAAAACGGTCATTTAGTGCAGGACTGGGCTATCTTATTAGAAAGCCAAGGCGCAAGACAATAGAAAAGATAGACATAAATAAACAACACAAGGGAAGAAAAAGAGGTAGGGTCTACCAGTGACGCCCTCCAACCGCCCGCTAGGGTGAAGAGAAGCCCGTGTATCTACAAATTATAAGTCATTTGGAATCTAGATCTAGTACGAGGGAAAAGCTAACGAGATAAAAACAACAATGGAAAAGAACAGAAGTTCGGCCAACAAGGGGCACCCCGCAACCACCCGCGCAACGTCGAGACAATAGCAGGGCAAGGGTTAAGAGAAATCGACAATTTTCCTTTTCCCAACGTTTTATTCACGTTTGCTCAGGTCGAATAATAAGGTGTGGGTATCATGGTAGTGTTAGGGTTAACCGTAACCCTAGCCCTAACAACACTGGATTCGGGCAATAAAGGGTAGGGATAGGGTTTGAGTTACCCCTGTTTACCTGATTTTTAATAAAGTGTGAATACATGTGTATAACGATAGGAAGAGGCAGAAATCATCATAGTATCATGCATGGAAAGAATGGCCATACCTCTTGAAGATCTGATCCTTGTACTAAGATATCCGCACTGAAATAGAGATTATTGTCGGTATAATCCTTCTCATCACTCTAAATACGCCGTTTGTGTTTGTACCAACAACCACGCGTGGATTCACAAAGAAAACAACGTCTTTCTTCAGAATAAATGAAATTTTCTACATTCCACAGTATTAATCAACACATTATTTTTCTCCCGATGTTTCGCTTCTTATTCACTTACACAGCTGTCACATTATTGTTTCTATTATTGTTATTATTGTTGTGTTTGACGTCGTCGTCATAGCTGTTGCTGTTTTTAGCCTCAGCCTCCGTGTATATTACTTCCTCCTTAGACGATGATGCACCACCACCACCACAACCACTACACCACCACTGCTTCTTCCTCCACAGAGCGTACGACACAGCACGCACATTCAGTCACTCAGTGAGTGAGTGAGTAGATCAAGACTAGTCCCACGCGCGCGCAAGCGAGACAAACCACCGTTAGCACGTCTGTCGCGTCCCTGTGCCAGTGAGCGAAACAACAAGAGCGGCGTCAGAGAGTGAGTCGCGGCAGAGTAACGAGGACAACGCAGGCTTGTGGGACAGCGCGGGGAGAGAGAGAGAGAGAGACGACAACCAGATCTGATGGGAGTTGGGAGGGTGGAGTTGACCCCACTACTACTCTACACTACGCGCTCCCGCCGGACGCCGTCTGACAGCTGTAACCGCTGGGCGCGCACCCATTTCCTCATGAATCGATTTTTGGACTCACGTCTTGGTCCATTATCCGGTTGAACTCGAAAAAAGATCCCTTGCTTGAATTTGAGTAAAGAGAAGCACATCGACACAATAACGGCCGTATCTAGTGCAGGGAAGAAGTAGAAGAAGTAAAACAAAACACACCGAAACAACAGAGGAGAAGTAAAGAAATAGGACATACCAGTGGTGTCCTCCAGCCACCCACCCATAAAAAGATACCATTTAGTCATTTAGGCAAATGAACTACAAGACGAACTAGATTCTAGTCAACCACAGATCCGGCTATTAAAACCGCGTCTCTGCTGAAAGACGGAGACACTCGACACAAAATGCTTCCTTCACGGGAATCGATCTCGGATCTTTTTCGCGTAACGGCGAAGCACCCAACAACTAGAGTCCACACCACAGTCATCGGCAATTGTTCTGACGGGGGCATTGAATATGCACAGACACTTTCAAATAAGGTTCATGAAGGGAGTTGCGAATCGAAAATCCCACCATCAGAGTAGACATTATATCATTTCGCTACCCTAGAATTACACCGTTCTATCTGCTCAGGAACTAGTTTTAGTTTAGTATTAGTAAGAGTATTTATGGCACTCGAAACACAGTAAGGTCATATTGTAAGTGCGGAAGAATAGAGGAGTTATAAGAGAGAAACAAGCACAAAAAGAGGAGAGACAAGGGAGATCTATTAGATGTTTGATAGGAAAGAAGGAGCAAACTTCCTTCTTTTCTTTCCCTAGTACCTAGTTTTAGATTAGTGTTAGTAAGAGTTTTATGGCACTTGAAACACAGTAAGGTAATACATGTAAAAGTGCGGAAGAATAGAGGTGTTACAAAAGAGACACACGCACAAAAAGAGGAGAGATGAGGAAGATCTATTAGATGTTTGATGGGAAAGAAGGAGCAAACTTTCTTTTTTTCTTTCCCTAGTACCTAGTTTTAGTTTAGTGTTAGTAAGAGTTTTATGACACTTGAAACACAGTAAGGTAATACATGTATACGTGCGGAAGAATAGAGGTGTTACAAAAGAGACACACGCACAAAAAGAGGAGAGATGGGGAAGATCTATTAGATGTTTGATAGGAAAGAAGGAGCAAACTTTCTTTTTTTCTTTCCCTAGTACCTAGTTTTAGTTTAGTGTTAGTAAGAGTTTTATGACACTTGAAACACAGTAAGGTAATACATGTATACGTGCGGAAGAATAGAGGTGTTACAAAAGAGACACACGCACAAAAAGAGACGAGATAAGGAAGATCTATTAGATGTTTGATAGGAAAGAAGGAGTAAACTTTCTTCTTTTCTTTCCTTCTGTTGTTTCTGTCTGTCTTGCGTTTCCAAGCTCTATATTGGCTGTCATCGTGTCGACTGCTACGCTTGTTTGAGTAAAGGAAACTACATCCAAACAAATCAGAGTTATTCCAGGCGAACAAATATTCATTTTATTATAATGTAGGTGGTTTTACACTAACATCGACACGGTTAAGATCATTTAGGAAGCGGGCTTCCAACCCTGTCTGTCAGGGACAACTCGGACTGAGAGGATTGCAATACCCAAGCAGCTCAGGAATCGAACTAGGGTCATTAAAAAAAAATAGTACAGTTGCATGGCGCTCGCAACTGCATCAGGTCATATGAACGCCAAGGGGTGGATGTCAACAGAGAAGTCCGAACGGGGAATCAGGCATACTCTGCTCACCTCTCTAGCCTCAACAGCACAAAGTCTGCTTCGACTATCAAGGTCCCCGGAAATGCAAGAGAATGACAAACATACAAAAGAAGTAGAGGAAAAAATTACGATACATGTAGTAAGGATGAGGAAAGAAAAAGAAGCAGTCCCCCCTATGTTGTTCCGGCACAATATGAGCATGGCATTGATAAATCAGCCCATTCACAATTCTGCTTTGAATAAAAACATGTTTGTATCCCCTTTTGGGAATGGCCTAAAGACAACTTTAGTCAGTAGCACTGCCCTGGTTGGCTTCAAATTCACCCCTTGAGCAAGGGAACTGTTTTCTTTTCTCTCCCTCTGTTGTCCCTGTATGTCTGTCATGGATTTCCCTGCTCTATATGGCTGCAATCATATTGATTGATACATTTGCAGGAGTACAGAAAACCACATCGACACTATTATGTGCAAATAAAGATTAAGTCAGACAGAACAAAAAAAGAAAAGAAAGCATACAGAGAGAGAGAGAGAGAGAGAGAGAGAGAG